ACGCCCCCGGGGTGGACATGTGGAGCCTGGGCTGCATCCTGGGGGAGATGCTGCGGGGCCGGCCCCTGTTCCCCGGCACCTCCACCATCCACCAGCTGGAGCTCATCCTGGAGACCGTCCCCCCGCCCTCCCAGGAGGGTGAGCTGCCGCCGGGGCCCCAGGGCCGAGCCGAGGGGAGCCTGCGCCGGGGCCGTCGCCCTGGCCCTGGGCGGGCAAAGGGGTGCAAAGCCCGGCAAGGAGGGCGAAGGGCTGCTGGCAGGCCGCCGGTGGGCCTGCTGGGCGCCGGGGCAGGAGGGGTGAGGCCGGGAGCCAGGCGTGCCCCTAGCCAGGGCCCCTGCAGCACCCCACCCGCTCACAGGACCACCTCCGTCCTCACCTCCAGACCTCCTGGCCCTGGGCGCCAGCTACAGCGCCCCGACGCTGCAGCACCTGGGCCCACGGTGAGCGCCCCCTTGCGGGCGGAGGCGGCCAGCACCGCTGAGCAAGAGCGGCCGGCCTGGGCTGGGGGCCTCCCAGGAGGGGCCGTCCGGGGTCTCCGCGGCCACCCCAGGCCGCCCTCGGGCGCAGAGACAGGGAGTTGGGAGGCCCAGGGTGGGAAGCCGAGCACGGGCCGTGTACACATGCGGACGTGGGGGGGGCACAGGCTCGCTGCCCACAGGCCGCGGCAGACCCTCGATGCCCTCCTGCCCCCGGACACGCCCCCGGAGGCCCTGGACCTTCTCCAGCGCCTCCTGGTGTTCGCGCCCGGCAAGCGGCTGAGCGCGGCGCAGGCGCTCCGGCACCCCTATGTGCGGAGGTGGGCGGGGAACACCCGCAGGTGGGCCCACCGCCTGCGTGGCTCGGGGTGCGGGGGGCGGGAGTGGCCGCGGGCACCGCCCCTCGGGCCCTGTCACGCCCCCGCAGGTTCCACTGCCCTGCGCGTGAGTGGTCGCTCCAAGCCCCGGTCCAGCTCCCGGTGCACGAGGCAGCCCGGCTCCCGGCCGCTGAGTATCGCCACCGCCTCCACCAGGTTGTCCACCCACGCAGCCCTCGGGACCCCCCTCTGCCGCCCCCGCCCTGCGCCCCGCCAACGCGCCCGCCCTCCCGCCCGAGCAGATGGTCCTGGCTCGCTGCAAGAAGGGCCTGGGGGCGCCCCCGCAGCCCCACCCGCAGGAGCGCCCGTGTGTGACCGACGACCCCCGCCCCGGGGGGGCGACCCGTGCAGCCGCCTGGCCCAGGCCCCACCCCGACCGCACAGAAGCCCCAACTGGGGCCAAGAATTC